TTACAGACTCGATATATTTATGTAACATCATCTAGTGGTCCTATACAAAGATTGGTCAAATTATACCCCTAGGATCAAAAGAGGCCCTGCCAGGGGCTTATCGGTGTTACCAAGTTATATAAAGGAAATCTTCTTGTCAAAATCCACTAGGCGTAGAGCCTGGAAATTTAGTATTTTGGTATATAACATCATTTAATGGTCCTCTACTCTACGACGATTGTTCAAATTATGCCCCTAGGATGAAAAGGGGCCCCCAGGGGGCATATCAATTAAAAAAAAACAAAAAAAAAAACAAACATTATTTAAAATCTTGTCAAAAACCAGAAGGCCTATAGCTTTGATATTTGGTATGCACCATCATCTAGCGGTCTTCTACAATGAATGTTTATATTATGCCCTAAGGACTAAGTAAAGGCATCCACCTTTGCCTCATGTGAGCGACCCAGTGCCAGAGGGTCCTCTTGTTTAGATGTATACTTTGTTTGGAAGACACCAGTTCTTTTTCAAAGATGAATAGAAAATAACTTAAATATTCGCTTTCATTAATCTTGAGAAGGTGGAGATGAAGAAAGGAGCTCAAAATCTAAAATTAACGCTTTCAATTTGTAACTTGTATGTAGAATTTATTATTGTACATTTTGAAATCTGTACTCTTCTTTTTTTCAGCCCATCTTTTCACTCTTGCATATTACGGCCATGTTGACATGGCAACACTTGAAGTCATTCACTAATTTACGTTATAAATTTAGTGAAATAAAACGATTTGTACCTAGAATTTGTCTTTTTTTGTCTTTAGTTATCTAATTTTGTGAGAATACATACATGTACTTAAATGCAACAAAGCCGATATATTCATTTGATAATTGGGCCACCGGCCCATAATATACAATGCAAAGCTAAGCGAGAAAAAGAACAAGATTACGTCATAACAAATTGTATGAATATTTGTATAGAACTTATGGAACATCTGAATTCATAATAAATTTATTGTATAATATATGAATCGCAATTTTTACATTCGAACTCGCATGATTTCATGATTATCTGAATTCATAATAAATTTATTGTATAATATATGAATCGCAATTTTTACATTCGAACTCGCATGATTTCATGATTAAAAAAGTTCGAGTAAAAGTGACTTCGTTGATTCCTTTTTAAATCTTCAATAATCGAAAAATATACAGTTGAAAATTTTGCACTTATTAATTATCTCTCATGTAAAGACTCAATCAAACCGAGTCTGCAATTTTCATGTAATTTTAATGTGATTAATGCTTCCGAGGGATCGCTTTGTTTCCAGTTATTTATGTACCTGTATTTGTAAACAAATGATACTGTTTAAACAAAAACTCGACTATGAGCTTGGCATAAATACCCGGCGATTGCATTGTTGAGTTTTCAATTTTATATTTAGATTATCCCAGTACTTAAAGGCACATTTTGCCCTACAATATTTTCCTTTAGAAAAGGCAAACATGTGCTTTATAATATTTGTGATGATCCATTTAGTGTATGTTATATGCTTGTTATGAAAACAATGAGTGATGGATATGAAATGATTTGTCATGAAAATATCAAATGTAAACAAAGTAGTATTTTGACTTCGATACATAATACTTATTAACCTTAACTATACAAATGACTAAAAATGAATATAAATCTAAGGAAGCAAAATGGAATTCAGAGATAAAAACAGTGAGTACCAATCTGGAAAATGAAATACATATATACACTTAAAGAGAAATGCTTTTGGAAAATTTAAATAATATTTTTTTGGGACTAAAAATGCCTTTAAATGACTGCACTACTACTTTTTATATAATGGTAGGATCATATCTTTTTTAAATCCTGTCTTGCTCATTTGACTGCACAGAGCATATTATGTATCTAGATCGAATTTCAACCTTCGTAAATTTGAACGATTAAACTGTTAACGGTTTAATCATAACTATATAGGGAAAACACCTGCTTAATTTGTTATCAAATATACTTCCTTGTACAAAAAACATGTATTTTATAATCTGATAATTTATTTTAGATGAGGACTATATGTTTATAAGTATGTAGTTATTTGATATTAAACCATTTTCTTTTTTAAATTCAATATGCACTATTTATAAAAGTTGAAAAGCTCACTTCTATGTACATGTCAACGGCATAGTTGCTACCCCCGGTAAGCTGTCCTGAACCTACGCTATGAATTATATAATATTAACTTATTTATTAACTAATTTAGTAGAGTCCGAGATGATGGGCGTACCGTAACCGTTTCATTCATTTAATAAATGAAATACAAAAAAAGCATAAAAACAAAAACAGATGCGTTTTTTCTTCTTTTTTATGTTTATTTATAAGCCGCATGTAAGGTAAAATCAAATTTGTGCCCTGTTATATTGATTTTAAGAAATAAATCGATATGTTTGTTTTCTTTTATCGAATCATTGAGTTTTGATGAGATCTAAGTGAAAAAATTAGAAAGTAAACAAATGTGACATTGACAGTATTGGTCTATTTACTGCTATCTATTTAACTGCTAGGTTTTGATGAGATCAATATATATATATATATATATATATATATATATATATATATATATATATATATATATATATATATATATATATATATATATATATATATATATATATATATATATATATATATATATATATATATATATATATGGTTGGATTTTACGTCACATCAGCACAAAAGAGATCGTAGTAGGATTTTTCTACTTTACTGGTTGAGGAAGATCTCAGGTGACTCACCATGCATTATTTTAGGCACGAGCAGGCACCTGATAAGAACCACCGACGTTCCGTAAGCTTGCTTTCTAACATGAAATAATCCAAAATTCTTGGCGAGATTCGAACCTAAAGGAGTGAGAAGCAGGTGGGTTGTAGTCAACAATTCGACCTAGTTACAATTTCTAAGGTTACCACAATTTCTGATAAACATATAGTAAACTAACAGAATTGTTCTGTTCATAGGATGACATGAATCAAATTATGAAAAGCATCAAAAATGACAACTCCTTCTGAGACATCGGATTGTACAAAAGTGAAACAGCTGTTACAGGAAAAAGACAGGATAAGTCAATGTGGATACATACACATGAATCACGAAGATGGAGGAGATAAACTGTGCTGCAATTGTGTTACGAATAAACAGTCTCTACATAAAGTGTACGCGTCTAATGATATCACAGGTGGCAGTCTATCTACTAATGGAATAAACTCAGTTTGTAAACTGTCTGAGCTCGAAAATGGTTATATCCATCCTATTCAAGAATTGAGCCGAAACGGTAGTAACGCGTGTAAACATGTATACAGTGAGCCACAATTTAGCAGACAAGTAAATAGATGTACACGGAATGAAAGTAGTACCAGTGACAGTTATGCAATTATTCAGTCATGCAGAAACAGCTCAAAGTGTTCTCAAACACATTTATTCCAAACTTTTAATGAAAACAACAATACAGCATTCAAAAAAGGATTTTGTCTGTTATTATCACTAAATGTGCTGTTCTTTTTGTCATATGTAATTGGTGTGCCGTTGGTTTACGCATCAAGCGAAAGATTTGATACATGTTTTAAATGTGACATGTTGCCAATGTTGACAAAAGAAGACCTAGCAAGAATAAATGTTGGTCAAGATACAGATGGCACATGTTGCCTGGAGTCATCAGCTGGACTTCTAAAACTTCTAATCAAGGTATGGCATAACTTTGTGTACTTCAGTCAATCAGCACAATTTCTATTCGAAAAAAAAGATATTAAATACATTTTGTCATTCTTTAACTGTTTTACTTTTTAGGAATGATAAGTTTATTCGAGTATTCTGTAATTTTTGAAAGACATGTGGTAAATATAATCATTGTAATAGAATATTATCATTGTCATGGCATATTTTTAGACAACGTTTTATCCTTTAAAATTGAAAGAATGTATTATCGTAAAATTGGAAAACATTTTCATATACCTAATTCGGGAACAAACAAACTTTTACCATTAAAGCATATTTGGTTTAAAAAACAATATGAATATAATCATGTAGAGAATGTTTCAGAAGAAAATGATGTTTTTAAGAAATTTCAAGTGATCTTCATCGTTCAGTGATAAATTAACGGGAAGGTACCAAGAGGTCTATGTACGAAAATTAATATATTAACGTTTCTATACAAATTCAGTTTCCTATTTTAATTTTTTTTTGTTAAAAATTTGCAAATAAAATGTTAATATTTTGACCTACTTACAAAGTTTAAGAAACATGTTCTTTTTTTTTAAATTTGCAAATAAAATGTAAATCTTTTGACCTACTCACATAGTTTAAGAAACATGATTTTTGTTTTGTCATTTAACAACATTCAAAAAGATTATATATCAAACGACCGAGAACTGTGTTTGAAATTTTAAGTCAATCAAAGAACTTTCTTAAACTTATCAACGTCAAATGGCTCTATAGGAGTAATTTATATGCTATCTTTATACCTATGAATCTGTTAAATCGCTTTAACCAATATATCATTGATCATGACAAGTTTTAAAGTCTTGAGCATATTTTGAATTTTCGAAAAATAAAAAGGACGGATTGAAATGTAGTGGTTTCAGAAATTACACATAAAGTAAAGATACTTTTCACTGTCACATGTTTATCATGTATTAAAAAGAAATGGTATTGAAAGGGTTATAACTAATTCCATGTCTTTGTGAAAAATTCCTTTGTTCATATTTTTAATACAGAAGTAAAACAACCTATATTAAAATACAAATATTACAGGGTTTACCAGGTATTAAAGATGTAGAAAGAAATCACAAGCTTTTAAACATACTACTGGCACGCAAGCGTTCTGCTATTGAGGTTATTGGATTAAGTAAGTCATTTTTATGCAAGGAAGTTAATAATTTAGATATTAAATTTGTCTACGAATTCGCTTAAAGATGTAAATTGTATCAATTGCCTTATATATTGCTTTTAGATTTACAACGAATGCCAATTTTTTAATATATCAAAAATAGGATAGTGTTTAGCCTTTAGAAATTTGTTGATCCTTATTATCATTTTTATATTATATTTTGATATTTGAACATATTTATAAATATTTTATATACAAAATCTTCGCAATATATTCAATTGTTATATTCCATGTTTCGATTTAGTATTTCTATATACTACATGTATTAGGTTTTTAGTAGAACTGTTTTTACAAGTGAAAATTATAAAGTTCCTTGTTCTTTTCTAGAATTGTCAAATAGTAGAATATTTTGGAGTAAACACACAGTGAATGAAGGCGATCTAACATACAACTCTAGCGGTATCCAGATCTCAGTTGGTGGAACGTATGCATTGTACAGCAGAGTTCACTTTAGAACAGATTTGTGTCAGATACGAAGGTAATTAATTGAAATCGTTTTCCTAAAATATAATTTTGTCGCAGAAACAAATTTTTGTCTT